CGAGAGGAGAATGGAGGAGAAGGGATTGCGGCGTGGCCATCCCCCCTGGGGGGTGATTTCTCGCTTTCTGTCTCTATGTCTCTATCTGTCTGTCTGGCGAGTGCACGTGCCCTATAGCAACCCCCCCCCAAAAAAAAAACAAAAACAAAAACAAACACACTCATGATGGAATGACACGGGCAGAAGGCTGGGGTGTGGACGACAGCGGCCTCCACAGTACCCCCGTGGAGCCTGCATTTCACTTACTCGCATCTGGCTGAGACACGACCGCAGCAGGAGGGCCCTGTAAGGCACCGAGACACCCTGGGTGCCTGCGGGAAGGCACTCGCCTGGGGTGGGCAACCATATCCTGGAGAAACCTGGCCATTGCCTATTTGTGAATGGCCAGTGAGCTAAGAATAGTTTGTACATTTTTAAGTAGTTGAAAAATCATCAAAAGAAGAAGACTATTTTGTGACATGTGCAAATGATCTGAAATGCAAATGTCAGTGTCCGTTTTAAATCACGTCTTATTTTACCAGCGCACAGCATCTCACTCGCTGACACCTTGCTCAGGGCTGCCGCTGTGCCACTGCAGCAGACTCGTGGCTGGGACAGAGACCACACGACCCGCCCTGACGACAATGTTTATTCTCGGCTCCTTTCGGAAGTGTGCTGAGCCCTGTGCGAGGCAAGTGTGCGCTGAAGCTCTGCACACCACCTCTCTCTGGAACTGCTCCAAGGGATTGGAGGGTAAGAGGTGGATACGACCCCCTGCCAGACTGGCATGGCTGACCCGGTACCTGCCCCTAAGGCCCCGCAGCAGGAGTGACTGCTGTAACTCAGCGTCATTATGAAGCGACAAGTCAGTGCTGTCCTAACATTTGTTCCAGAAGGTTCTTCTCCACGCCTGAAGTCCTTCACGGTCCTCTCACCGTTTCCCATGGGCCTGTGCGTTACCGAGTGAGAGCAGGGAAATACCGAGTCTGGCCACCCTGAAGGCCAGAAGGAATGAGCCCAGGGCTCTGGCTCCCTGCAGCCTGGATTGATGCTTCTACAGGTCAGAACTGATGGCTTCTCTTCTGCTAAGAATGTCACCTCCAATGGGGGAGCCCTCCCCCAGGAACCTATGCCATCTGCCTTCTGGGGGTAGGCCCAGTGGGGACCCTCTCACCTGCATGTCCCTCCTGGCGATGAAGCCCTTGCCTTCAGCATCACAGGTCTGGAAGAATTCCTGTGCCTTCCTCAGCATGGCCAGCTGGCCTGGCACCTGCTCCTGGGGCTCCTGCTCCAGGTTGTCCAGGGGACCCAGCGAGGCCCGCTTCCCCTTCAGCCCCTGGCCAGGCCCCTGGGGTCGGGAGGCCACCCTCCTGCTGGGGGTAGCCATCCGGATGTGTCAGTTTCTTAGTCTTTGTAGAACCTGAATGTGGAAGATGGAAAAAAGAAGGGGATATGGTGAGTATGAAGGGAGGGCGAAAGGAGTGAGCGTGAGGTGCAGAGCCACGCGCCGTGTGTCCCGCCATGTCTTGGCAACCGCCTCCTCAGCAGCAGGAGCAGGACGAGGGGCAATGCACCACGACCGCGCGGACCAGCCAGCCATCGGAGGGAGAAGAGAAGCGAGAGGAAAGAAGACAGGCGTTTCCAGAGGGAAGGGAGGTGCACACGGGAGGAAAATAATCTCTCCCAGCGTTAACAACTGAACAATCAACAGGTCCTGACCCAGCAGCCACCACTCATGGTTCAGTGAGTGCTTACCTAGACAGGCACCATGCCACGGCCTCCATATGCTGGGTCATCAGAAAATCAGGATGCATTTTTGCAAAGAAAAACATAGACCAAAAAAAATGTCGTGACTTTTCCGACAACCAATACCTTTTTAAATGTAATTCTCACAGCCCTCTGAAACACATATTGTAGTCCCCATTTCGTCAATGAAACAGTCGAGACTTGGAGAAGCTGAGTGACTTGCCCGACATCACACAGCGAAGCTAGTGCAAAAGCCGAGATTTAAGCCCGAGTCCTAATAGCTAGAATGTTACCTTAATCCCATGCTGTCCTGGTTCCTTAGCATGGCCCAGGTGACGCCCTCCCTCACCCAGATGCCCCCTCTTCCACACTATTCAAAATCAGCGAGTTTTTCATTTGCTCTGCCCCGATGCCGCAGACTTCTGCAGCTCGCGCAGGAGAAAGCTCACCCCACCTTTAGGGAGCTTCTCGTTGTACTAGATCTGCCAGGCCTGCCTTGGTAACACCCGAGGCTGTCTCCAGTCAAAACAGAATCTCAAATCATGCACCTCAACCTGATTGCAGGAGCCCCTCAGGAGGTCTCGGGGAGGGGGAGGGTCTGAATCTGATATGGAGAAAGGCACAGCCAGCTGGCTTCTAGTCCAGACCCCACTGCTGCTTCCACGGTTTCCGATGACCCAGTGCCTGTCTGGGAGTCAGTTTCCCCATCCATTCAATGAGAAGACTAGATCCATTTGTCTTTAAGCTCTTTTCTGGCACTGCCAGACTATAAGTCTGTGACATTCCAAAACCATAAAATTAATACAAAATCAAATTCATAGGCCAGCAGGTGGCATGCAGCTTAAGGTGCTGGATCCCATGTGGCTGACTGCATAGTTTGAGTCCAGCACTTGGTGGCTTGAAAATCACACTGGGCATGTGTGTGTGCATGCCCAAGATCCCGAGGAGACGGGACTGCAGCATGGCTATCTATCTGGGATGATTCCTCACTCCCCACCTACCTTTCTTTCTCTCACACAAGTGCCTGAGCAAAAAAATAAGTAAATAAATAAATAAGAGAGAGAGAGAGAAATTGGTTTCATATGGACAACAAGAAATAATAATATCCTTGGATGTTTTTCATCTGAAGACATTTGGGAGTAGAATAGGGCCAAACTTTAAATACACGAGAACATTTAAATTTAGAAATATGGATACACCCTGCAATGCATTGCGAGGAGCTGCAGAACATGATGTCCTAGGACACATCTCCTGTCCATGTGAGTATAAAAGGAGAATGTCGCGTGTCACTGGATGAGTTTCTCTTACTACCAGGCCCCACGTGGATGGCTCAGTGGCACCACAATTCTAGATTTCTGCCAACCTTTTCCACCTACCAGGTTTTCCGAGAGCTGTGGTGGGCTTGAAGGCCTGCTGGCCTTGGCAATGAACTCTGTGCAATGGAGCCTCAATAAAACTGCATCTCTCACTCTGCTTGGTGGACATGCATTTCCTTTCCTACTGCTGTGACCAGCCCCTGCAGGCAATGTCCTTCCTTGTCATCCCTATATGGTGAGAACTGACTGTCTACCAACCCTAGGGGGACTTGCCATGTAATGCTGTGCTCCCCAAAGGGTCTGCCTTGGGTGTAAGTCCCAGGAGGGTGGGGCTGTTGACACGCACTGCCCAGCACACCTGCGTGCAGTGCTGGGCAGAAGGGCTTTTGGATAGTGATGATGATGGCATGTGAGCATCTGTAATGACAGAGCCTGGGCGGATCAGCCTGCTGTCATCCTGAAATATGTCAGGAGTCTGCAAAGACTGTGTGCCTAGTAGGCCACACCCCACTTCCACCTTCTGCTCCCCAAAGATGAGACTGATAATACCTGGCCTGCCTCTACAGGGCTCTCCATTGTGCCTCTTCCTATTGGAACCTGACAGCCTCCATCACACAGATGAGGAAACCGAGTTTTGGAGTTGCTAGCAACTGGATCAAGGTCTAACACAATCAGATACCTCTTCTGTTCTACCAGTCGCCTCTCTGTCACAAATCCCAGTTGTGAGCCTGCTCTTAAAAGTCTACTCAGGCCCAACCGGGAAGGATCTAAGTCGTCTCCTGAGGCATCGTCGCCATGTGAACAGGAGCATCTCTAATTCATTCACGCACTTTCATCTAGTGCTTGTCCTGTAGCAGCTCTGCACTAACACTGAGAGATGCAGACATGAACGGGACCCGGTCTCCGCCCTCAGTGAATGAGTCTCCAATGCTGGGATTTCAGTCAAAGTGGCTGGAAGTGGGGGAAGATATCTGGGGTCAGATCCTAGAGATGTCAACTGACTGATGATGACTAGCGATGAGAGCTGAACTCAGCCTTTGACAAGCTACTCTGGGCCTGAGAATTCTTAGAGATGATCTCTCAGTTCCAGATGTGGCTTTGACTGGCTTTCTGCTTTCTCAGGACCACTTTCCCTCTACGTCTGCCCACCTGCTCTCAGGTGATGCATGGTAGGAAAGAGCTGATCTGATAGTTTTAAGCCAGTGGTGAGGAATTGGTAGACAGGGACCAGCAGATGGCATAATGGTATGTTGCTGGACTCCTATATAGTCGACCATGGTTCGCATCCCAGACCCAGTGACTTAAAACTCAAGGCCAGGTGCATGTGTGTGTGTGTGCCAAAAATCCTGAGAGGAGAATGGAGAAGGGATTGTGGCATAACCATCTCCTCTGGAGGGTGTTTTCTTGCTTTTTGTCTCTGTTTATCTCTCTGTAGAGTGCACATGCCCCATATTTAAAAAAATAATAAAAGAATACAGAGGATTTGAACAACACTATCAACTATCTTCACTTAGTTGACATTTATAGAACACTCCACCCTAAAACAGCTGAATATACTTTCTATTTAAGTACATGTGGAATGTTTGCCAAGAGAGTCCATATCCTGGGTCATAAAATAAGTCTCAATAAATTTAAAAGGGTTCAGTTTGTTCAAAGTATGTACTCTGACCACAATAGAAATCAATGATAGAAAGATCTCTGAAAAACTCTTAAATATTTGGAAACAAAATAATATACTTCTAAATAACCAACAGGCCAATGGAAAAGTAAAAAGTATTCTAAATGAAATGAAAATAAAAGCACAGTATATCTATTTTTGTAGAACATTGCTAAAGTAGCACCAAGGATGACATTTATAGCACTAATCGCATATGTTAGGGAAGAAGAAAGGTCTCAAATCAATAACCTCAGTTTCACCTAAAGAAACTAGAAAAAGGAGAGTAAATTAGACCCAAAGTCAGGAGAAGAAAAGAAATAATAAAGATCAAAGAAGAAATCAATAAAAGAGAAAACAGAAAAATAACAGAGAAAAATCAGTCAAACTAAAAGCTGGTTTTTGAGAAGATCAATAAAAGGGGAGACATAAATTATAATATTGAGGATGCAGTGGCATGAGACATGACACATTACAGATTCTTCAGACATCAGAAGATAAAATAGGAATATTATGAGCCACTTCATGTCAACAAATGTGACACGTTAAATGAGATGAAAAATTTTTTGAAAAATACTAGATATCAAAGCACACTCAAGAAGAAACAGATAACATGTATAACTCTTTATGTATTAAATAAATTGAACCAATATTAAAAATCTACCCAGAAGAAAACTTTAGGCTAAATAGCTAAATAGACAAATTCTACCAAATAGTTAAAGAAACACTAATACTAATTCTACACAGACTCTTCCAGAAAATTGAAAGTACAAAATATTTCCTAACATATTATATTAAACCATCTTGACCCTGATACTAGAATTGGGCAAAGACATTACAAGAAAAGAAAAATATCCCTCATGAACATAGATGTAAAAATTCCTTAGAAAATTGTAACAGAGTGTCTCTAACACCATATAAATAAAGGACAGTGTATTCTGACCATCCAGCTTGAATCCCCAAAATGCAAATGGCTTAATATTTGAAAATCAGTCATGTAAGTCACCATATTAGTATTCATCTCCATAGATCTAGGAAAAAGCATTTGACAAAATTCACTCCTGATAAAAAGTCTCAGAGAAGCAGGACTAGGAAGGAACTCGTCCAACTTAATGTACAAACACCCCAACAGCTAATGGCAAACGATGGCTTTTCCATTATATTCAAAGAGAAGACAAGAAAGCTGGCTAGAGATTTCAGCCGGTTCAATAAAGCAAGAAAAAGATATTCATGTTGGAAAGGAAGAAGTAAAATCGTCATTATTCCCAGACGGCACGATTGTCTATGTAAAAATCTGATGAGAGTTCCAAAATCGACACAAATAAGTGAGTTTGACAAAGTTGTAGGATGTAAGCTCTGTACATAAAAATAATTTGCATTTGTATACACCAGTAATTAAACATTGAAATTTAAATAAAAACATCATTTGCAATAGCACCAAAAATATGAAATATGTAGAAGTGTATCTGACAAAGGATGTGTCATATTTGTTTACTGAAACCTACAAAATATCAATGAGAGAAGTTAAGAAAGACCTGAAAAATGGAGAGATATGCCATGTTCATGGATTGAAAGACTTGATATCTTAACATGTTGTTTCTTTCTAAATCCCATAAATTCATCTGAATCCCAGTTGAAATTCCTACAGGTTTTTTTTTTTAGAAGTTAACAAGCTGATTTAAAATTCATACAGAAATGTAAAGA